TCCACTCTCTGGCGTTCATCAGGAAGACTTGCTTGTTGTACTTGTACTCCGAGGACTGAACGTGATGAGGGAGACGGATGTGATTTAATACAACCGTCTCACCCAGAGCTGGGACTGAGGTCCGGCTTTAGAACTCCCAGAACCAGACCCACCAGCACGCGGCAGGAAGCGCGGAATCCACATTACTAGGACACGCACCGCTGGGCTTGAGGAGAAGAGCTCTGCATCTCTCCCCACCGCTGGCACAAACCCCGTCCCGCACGCCCCTGCTGCCTCGGGGAACGGTCACGACGCCAGGCCTGACCCCGGTGAGGCCGCGCTGCTACGCCCAGCGCCAAAGCTTTAATCCAGAGCGAGGGGAGTGGAATCCCAGCCTAACCCCAAGGCAGCGTTCCCTCCCCACCCGGGGCCCGGCGGAGGAGCTCACATACTATGTCTGCCATGAGAGGGTCGTCGGGGTTGGGCTCCGCCATCAGCAGCTGTATGGAGGTCAGCAGCGTGGAGATGTTCAGGGAAGGCCTCCACGCACCCTTCGAGGAAACGGGGCGAAAAAAGCGTATAAGCAGAAAGAAACCTGCCCCCAAGCTGCCTCAGGACTTAGAGCGTTTACATTCCCCCCGGACAACAGCAGGTCCATTCCCAACACCCTGCAGCCTCCCCGAGGAAGCCAGACCGACAGCATCTCCGCTGGGTCAGTGCCGGGCCCAGTCACAGGGTCCCCTCTTCAGTCCTTAACACCTGGGAACTGAGGAGGTCATCTTCTACTCTCTAAGCAAAGGAGGTGCCATGCAGACTGCGCTCCCGTGAAGGAAGTCAGCAGCAAAGAGACGGCTCGTACAAGACAAGGTGCTCATGCTCCTCTCCAGCCTCGCGTGCCCATGCCCGTCTTACCTTTGGTGGTAATTTAAGAACATCCAGGCAAATCCTTCCAGCAGAGTCAATGTTGGGATGATAGATAGGGGTCAGAAAGCGAATCTTCGGGGGCTCAAACGGGTACCTTTACGGGATAAGCGTTAAGAAATGACACATTACCTCTATATCTGTCCACCGGCAGCTCCATCACCCAAGCAATGCCATTGTTTCCTCCTCCGGCCATTTACTGAGCAACATCCTTCCCCACAAGTTTTTGGGAATGCAGTGCTCTGCCTTTGGTGCTTTCAGCACTTTCCTGGGTAGCTTTCCGTGAAGACGCGGACGTAACGGGAACCTTTCGACCCGTGAACGAGCCGCTTTCCAGAAAGCCTTGAGACAGCACGACCAAGAACTTGTCATAACGCTTTTAGGTCGTTATTCCCACACCGTGGGTTGTCCAGTGTGAAATGAGTGCATCAGCCAATCATAGAATCATAGAATGGTTTGGGTGGGAAGGGACCTTAAAGATCATCTAGTTCCACCCCCCCTGCCATGGGCAGGGACACCTTGCACTAGACCAGGTTGCTCCAAGCCTCATCCAGCCTGACCTTGGACACTCCCAGGGATGGGGCATCCACAGCTTCTCTGGGCAACCTGTCCCAGTACCTCACCACCCTCTCTGTGAAGAATTTCTTCCTGAGATCTAATCTAAACCTCCCTGATTTCAATTTGTACCCCTTACCCCTTGTCCTGTCACTACAGGCTCTTGTAAAAAGTCCTCTCTCAGTACCCTTGTAGCCCCTTCAGATACTGGAAAGCTGCAATGAGGTCTCCTCGGAGCCTCCTCTTCTCCAGGCTGAACAAGCCCAATTCTTGCAGCCTTTCATCATAGGAGAGGTGCTCCAGCCCTCTGAGCATCTTCGTGGCCTCCTCTGGACTCGCTCCAAGTGGTCAATATCCTTCTGATATTGAGGGCTCCACAGCTGGACGCAGCACTCCAGGTGGGGTCTCAATGGCAATAACTGCGTTCCTCAAACGAAGGGTCTCCCCTGACCGACCCCAGGAGTTGTTGGGAGGCTGTGGGAAACCCCCCGATGGCAGCACGCACGGCAAACACCTGACAGTGGTTAACTCGTATCTGAAAGCAACGCTACGTAACCGGGTGGCATCGCTCACTGACCTTTCAGGAACAATTATTTCCAGGTTGAATACTCCTTTTTCATACGGTGTGTCTGCACCTCCTAAGATTTCTTTCAAAGCAAGATGAAAACAGAAGCATTACATTCAAAAATCACTTGAACTGGGCCAACGGCCTCCGCACGCCACCAACAGTTACACAACTCCAGCGCTGCTCGGATCCAGGGATCAAAAACCGTCTCCCCTGAGAGCAGCTGCCCCCCAACCCGGGGGGTTTTCCGACCATTCCGCACTCCCGTGCGCACGCCAGGCAGCGAGCCCAGCCTGGCTCATCCCCGCTAACGAAAAAGTCCCCCCA